CAGTAACTGGATGTGAATCCCTTATATAGTGTGTGTGAAATAGTAGAGTCTGAGGAGGGACATTTAAAAGGAAAATAGAGAGGCAAAGCATTAATGGGACAAAGAAATGTGGTATTATCTGTTGTAGATAATTTTATAGTTTTATCAACTAGACAAGGGAGAAACGTTCACAAGTTGGAATATTCTCTTTGTTAGCTAAATAATGTGAATAATAAAAATAATGATTGGGGAAAACATAGAAAAGATATTGAATGTTGAAGTGGGGAGATTAGGGAACCAGCAGTTAGCGTAATGGCTATGTCGCTGGACTCCCACGTAGTCGACCGCGGTTCGTGTCCCGGACCCGGTGGCTTAAAACTCACGCCGGGCGCGTGTGCGTGCGTGCCCAAGATCCCGAGAGGAGAATGGAGGAGAAGGGATTGCGGCGTGACCATCCCCCCTGGGGGGTGATTTCTCGCTTTCTGTCTCTATGTCTCTCTCTGTCTGTCTGGCGAGCGCACGCGCCCTACAGTGAAAATCTCTCAAAAAAAAAAAAAAAAGAAGGGAGGAGATTAATGTCTCTGTACTGACGGACATGCATGGCATTCCCTTTTGAAAAAACAATGTAATACACTGTAAAGTTATATGTAATCCAATGTAATATAAAGAAGATTATGATGATGATAATAATAAAAAAAAATCGTGGCCCTAGAGACCTGAAAAATATGCCAGGTATGTGTGTGTGCATGCCCAAAATCCTGACAAGGAGAGATGGAGATAAGGGGATTGTGGTGTGACCACGCCCCACTACAGCGTGCTCATGGTGAACACATGGATCCTCTGGCAATAAGAAAATTTAAAAATTTAAAAACAAATTTGATTTGTTTCATGAGAGAGAAAGAGAGAGATTCCCCCAGCAGGGTCCCCGTGCAACGATCCACCTCCAGCCTCAGCCAGCCTGGATCATAGGCACACAAGCATCTGGGTGCAGAGAGAGGCCCCAGAAAGGAAACAGGACCTTTCTATGTGGGTCCAGTTGCAGTACCACTATGCCACTGTCTGGCTCTTCTTTTGCTAGTTTTGGGCATTTCACACATTTTTTTTAAAAAAAGAATTATTTGTTTAATTTTATTTATTATTATTTTAAAAAATATTCCTCCAGCAGCTGGCATACTGGTTAAGGTGCTGGACATGCCCACATGGCCAACCACTGTTCAAGTCCCGGACTTGATGGCTTGCTTTCTCACTTTCCCTCTGTCTCTCTCTCTGGTCAAATGAAAATAAATGAATGAATAAATAAAATTATACACATATATGTATGTATACTTTTTTTTTTTTTAATTTGTTTTAGGGCACATGTGCTCACCAGAGAGAGACAGGGAAAGTGGGAAAAGTAAGCCACCAGGTCCGGGACTTCGAGGTCAGCCATCTAGTGCCTTAACCACCACCATGCCCTCTGCTGGTCCCATTTCACATATTGTTCTTTTTTTTTTGGAGGGCTTTTTGCTATAGTGCGCACGCACTCGCCAGAAAGACAGAGAGAGACAGAGAGACAGAAAGTGAGAAATCACCCCCCAGGGGGGATGGCCACACCATAATCCCTTCTCCTCCATTCTCCTCTTGGGATCTTGGGCACGCACGCACACGCGCCTGGCCTGAGTTTAAGCCCCTAGGTCTGGGACTTGAACTGCGGTCGACTTACATGGGAGTCCAGTGACATAGCCATTATGCCAACTACTGGTACCCCCATTTCACACATTTTTAAAGGTTGTTTCTGGATAGTCTCACTTTGTTTTCACAATTTTGTTAAATGCCGGGGACCAGCCTCGGCGGGGGTGGGTTGGCTCGACGGAGGCTACGCTGGAAGGAAAGGAAGACCAAGGCCTCGTGCTTTTTCATGCACGTCCTAAGTCGGACACTCCTCTAAGATCGCTCTCTGAGGAGTGACAACTGCTAGGAATCACCGTGCCTTTTTATTGAAAATGGGATACATGCAAGTAAATGGGAGAGGGGCTACGTATACTAATGATCAATTCATAATGTTTTAACAATAGAAACCATTCAGGGTTTGATTAAGGGCAAGTCTATTAATCATCGATACAGTTCAACAATTGTTTGATTGATGAAAGCAGGTTCCTGGTAACTTCAAGCAGTGCAGTTTCAGGAAACAGTTCCAGCAAGCAGAGTTAACTATCAACCGATGTTCAGCAGCAGCCGTCTTATGATTACTAAAAGAAAATCTCAAGCATAGATATTAGTTCTTATGGATTTTCATAAAGAATGATACTTATATAATTCTATAGGGAT